AACCCTTGAGGTTCAGATACTACTAATGCATATTTAGGAATGGTTTACATTTGCACATGTATCAGGCCTTACTCAAGAAGAAGCAGGCAGGGCAGCTAAGTTAGTTAATCCTTTAAGCCAAGTAAACTCATTCTTATATAAGTAGAAGTTACTATTATGGACGTTTTTTGCCAAGGTGCACTAGAGAAAAGGACCATTTTAAGACTTCATTACAATTTTTCTGCCCTTCAGGTGGTGTAATTTCCTGATGGGTTTTAATACGGAATTTCGTAAGTATTGTAGGAGTTAGTACACACAAAAGCAAGATGTCTCTAGTAAGTGTCAGAAACGAGAATCCAGAGATTTCAGATTTTGAAGGGATCATATGTACTTTCAGAGTCAATCTAACTGCAATAAAATACCCCAACTTTTCTATTCTTAATTTTTTTATACCACTTCTCTCTCAGCAGAGTACAACTGACCTGATCTACCCTCTGTACAGTCACTAGCTGTTAGGAGACAATCTGTCAGAAAAGCAGCAAGTGAAAGGGAGTTGGAGGAATGAGAATCACATGGCAAAAGAAGGTGTGAAATGCTGGGGGTGGGGCAGGAACCCTGGAGATCTATTTTTTTGACTGCTGAAGTACACATTTTGATGTTTCCACTCTGTCTGTTAGAAACACACCTCTGTGACCTGAGTGCTTCTGGAATTTTTGGATTCTATAAAAATCAACTGCACTTTCACGCAAACGTTTGAGAATCATCACGAAAACATCGAGTTTGTGTTTGTTTTTTGTTAAAAGTCATTTTTATTATCGATTCTGCTAAACAGCATGCAAACAGCATTGGCAGGACACTGTCATCTCCAGCTGGGTACCACCACATTCTAACCAGAGGGGTCCAAGGCCATAATATAAAGCATTAGGGAACTGCAGCAATACTGACCAGTGGGAGCTCTAAGTGCTCAAGTGTATGCATTAAGTGCTTTGCTGGATCAGTGCCCTGCGCATCCGAGGCTGGTATAGAACTGGCAAAGGAGAAGAAAGTGTGCAGTGAACATTGACACCACTTGGAATCACATGAAGCCTGCTCCATATTCCACGCTTGGAAACATGGAGCAGCTGGCAAGGCTGGGCTCGGAGCAATGCATGGATCTAGAGCTCAAACCTGCAGGGGCTGGTTTGCTGCCAGCCCCACAGGCCAATTTTGAAGGCACTTGGCAACTGCAGACCAGCCTGTCTGTGTCAGCATATGTCACACTATATGCAATATATAGATTCAAAGTTTCTCCCCTAGTGCTGTATTCCAGGTTAAAATGCTGCAAATTTGATAACTTTAAAACAGGCCTAATAAAAACCTGAAAAACTAATCTGGAAGGAGAAAACAATGAGAAATGGGAATATGCTATAAAATTTTCCTCATAATCCTAATGTGAAGGCTGGTTTTGTCACAGACCAAATTGTGTCACATGGAAATGGCCTGTAAAAAACATAAGATAGCTGAGATACTCAAAGAATCCCAGCAAAGGAAATAAACCCCTTCACCTCAGTAGCAATTTTGAAAGATGATGCACTGCTCCCTGATCACTTTGCAGGACCTTGATCAGTGTCTTTGAGTCTAAACAGTCTTCCATGCTCCCCTGTCTGCAGCACAGGCAAACCTGAAGAATGACAGCCTGGAGCAAGGCATGTTCGCCTTATGAAATATTTGTCACTAAAACCCTTCCTGCAAAGTCTATTTCCCAGGCAGCCTGTTCAAGAAAGCAGCCGGATAAAGGGCTCTGGCTCTATTTGCTTCAGTGTTAAACTGTATCCTCTGTACACGGCGAATTTCACTGAGTGGAGAAGGGATAATTAGCCAGGATCAGAGGAACAAGCCATTTGCTAAAGAAGTGTCTGAGGAACCAGAAATTAAACTCTGTCCTTCATTTGGAGGGAAATCTAGTGCTCATATAATCAGCTGGTCGCCTGTGACTGCAGGGAGAGTGGAAAGGCAGCCTTCCTTCCACCCCTGGCCAAGGACAAAGGAATACTGCGGCTGTTGGTAAGCAGAGTAAACAACATTTGTTCCCCAGTTGTCTGTTGCTTAGCAACCAAAGCTCCCTGTACAGTTTTAACTGATCAATGAGACCTGCAAATGAGGAGGCATAATGATGCTCTCTTCAAAGCCTGTCTGAAGCTTCGTCCCCATAGCAACCACCAGACCCAGCTTGACAAATTGATCACCTGATTCTGTCTTCGTAAAAGGCTGCTTATTATTATTATTTTTACAGCTGTGCACTCTCTGAGCAGTAGTGTTCACACACTAAATGGCAGTTCTGTCCCCCCAACTTCAGTTTTACTGGCTCACATTAATACAAATTAAATACAGACCCAGAACTGACAACAGGCTTGATACAAAATCTCAAGGGAAGCCTCCTGATGGGTTGAGAGCCTTAGAGAATAGTTTGCCCCTTGCATTTGTGAAAGGATGCCTCAAACCCCTCTTGAGAAATCAGAGCTGTTCCTAGATGATATCCAGAAACCCACTCCATCCTACATTTTCTTCTGTCACTGTAATGAAGCCATTTATTAAAACTGAAGTGTTTTGGATATGGCATTTCCCAAAGGAGGTAAACAATGAATCCAAAATTTTCAGTAGGAGTTTAAATGATGCTCCTAAGTCTATAGACACCTAAAATTATAGCTAGGATTCCCTGCCTCTACACCCCCTGAAACAGTCATAAGCTTCCTTTACTTTATGGCACTAACAACTGGCCAGCATTAGTGAAAATCTGGTTCGACCTTTATGTGCCCAAGTCTAGAAGAGTTTATCTGTGCCATGCTGAAAAACCATGGCCTGAGCACCACGGGGCAAGCTGGAAGGCTCTTTGAGTGGCTGTACTTCTCTTGTGAGGCTCTTCCTGTAGGCCAGTAGTCTAAAGCAAGCTATGCAGCAGGATGCAGAGAAGGCATAATGAAGGCAATGAGAGGCTTACAAAAATGCTTTGCTTGGAGCAAAGAAAATCTGATCAGAAGGAAGCCAGAAAAGATACCAGTTGCCTGGGGCTGAATTCAGCCTAGGAGGGTTGAACCTGCAGGTTATTTGTTGTGTCTAGGAAACCAACATAATAGAAAAGACCAAAGAAACTGTCCCGATAGGCAAGCTAGAGGTTTCTTCAAAGGACCTGGCATTGAATATCAAGTGTTACCACCTTGTTCAAAACCCAGAACTGAAATTTGTTGAATTAAGAGTTTGAGATAAACATCCAGCACCCTCAGCATGTACGGACAACAGCAGGTTCAAGATACAAGACTTTCGTGACCTCCACCATTGAGTCACATAAGCCTCACTTAATCCTGAAGAGCTTTGTACCTGGGATGTGCAGGACCTCTCTCCTGAGAGGTTTGGGAGGATACGCTTCCTTCCAAGGAGTTTCCACGATGACATGCAGAAACAGCAGCCTTTGGAGGTACAGAATCAGGCTGTGTTGTCTCACAGACCACCTGCAGTCCCTTTGGATAGTTGGAATGAAACAAAATAGGTATATGAACTTCTTAATCTCTCCCATGTTAGTTTTATAGTTGCAATTTATGCTTAGACATGACCATTACTTGCACCATAATACCATGGCAATACCATGGAGAAACTGATGACGCCTGGAGCTGCTCAGTATTAGGCACTGTACAGACAAAAGACAGGACTCTTGCCCAGGAAAATACCTAAGATCATAGAATCAGAGAAGGGTTTGTGTTGGAAGGGACCTTACAGATAGTTCCAACCTCCCTGCCACAAGCAAGATTGGGTTTCTGTCCTGTAAGACAGCATAAGGCCAAGGAGATCCAGACATTTATACCAAACACCCTTTGGTTCCACTGCAAACAAGGCTGGGAGCCTTAGGAACAACTGTGAATAACTGGTTTCTGGAGATGGAATACTTTAGGGTGGTAACTGTAAGTTCTGCTGACTCCCCCCTCCCTCAGCTCCTTATTCAAGCTTATCAAACCTTAGCATAGAACTCACCTCGGTACGTCCACTGTCCAGATTAGGGGATTCACAGGTCACATTCTGATTGTTGGTGGGAGAACTTCTCTTGGCTGAGAAAAAGAGCCAAAGGACATTTCAGGAAACACCTCTCATATTATAATGTACCACTGAAAGGATAAATCAGAAAATAAAACCATCCCCAAAGCAGCATCTCTGTGCTACAGACTTCCTAGGCATTAGCCACAACCATAAAAAGAAAAAAGGACTGTTTTAATTTTTGCACAGTTCTTTCCATTGGTTTGTCAACAACATTGTCTACTGAAAATCCCTATTTCTTTAAAACTAAATTTGAATGTAAAGTTTATCCTAAATCCATTTGACATCCAATAGTGTTTTCCTGTGTGTACTAGTGCCTTTTATTTTGGAGTTCGTCCTTCTATTTGCACATACATGAGGTCCTTTTCTATGTTACATCTCTCAGAGTGTATTGTGATTTCCAATTTGCCAAATGCCTTCATCACAGGAAACACATGGATGTCATGCAGAAAGTTTGATCAGCAATACTGTAGCAGAACAAGGGCATTACACAGACTAGGACGACAATTCCTGTCACGTTGCAAGCTGTGCAGATGTGACTTAGAATCAGACTGACTGCAAACAAAACATGGCAAAGCTTCTTCATTAGATTCTTTTAATTTGCTGTTTGAAGGGAAAAATAAGTAAATTGGATTATTTTTTTGGTCCAAGTTTGAGACTAATGATGCTAGGGTAGCATCTTCCTTCATATAAATGACTTCATTCCAATCACTATTTCTGTC